TTTTTGTTTACATCAGTCTAAAATATTAAATATGTTATGAAATACTTAATAAAAATTTATAAAATTTTTAAATTATACACAAATCGTTATAATTAACAACTTTTGTTATCACGCAAAACATAAAAAAAATTGTTTTTGTATATAGTTACTATTATCAATAAATTAGGTTAGATCTTCGTAATTATAGGAATCCGGTGATTTTTTGTCAGGGGAGTGTACTTTAAATTGTATAAATGTTACCTGAGCAATTGATTATATCAGCCGATCATATCTTATCTAACCAATCAACCCCCGAAGAACGCAAATGTGCACCTGATTTAGAAATATGATTTTAAGATTTATCGTTATGTTGAATATTTAATCTCAAAAAATTGATTTCTTATTCTTTTGACATGTCGCTGAAGACAAATAGTGGTTTTCAAGCTAATGGTACTAATAAAAAATATTCAAAGTTAACAAAAAAACAGTACATGCTTTCAAAAGTTGCCAAATACTTGGTTGAGCATCAAATTGGTAAAAATTTATTGGTTTTGAAGAGAAAAATTTTTAATGCATTCGTCTTAAATTTTTGTAAATTCCTTTTATTTTCTAACTCCCAATAGAACTACCAATATGTCTCATAGCGATTATTACTTTAGCTTATATTTTAAAAGTTCCTGGTTCAGAAAAATTCTTATTTTTACGTGAGAACCCCAAAACCGGCCTTTATGAAAAGAGCATGGATGATGCTTATTTTGTATTCTTTTGGGTTGCCACATTTACGCTATTACGGGCTGCTACGATGGAGTATATACTAATTCCAATAGCTAGAAAGGGTCGAATTAAGAAAAAAGCTCGGATAACGAGGTTTGCAGAGCAAGGGTGGTCTTTTTTGTATTATTCAGTTTTCTGGACATTTGGCATGGTGAGTAATCGGCTTGAGAGAAACGCAAAGTTTCTTTCACACCTCTGCCATGACCAACAAACATTTGAATGATGATAAAAATAGTTACTGGGAAACCATTGGACTTGTAAAAAAATAAAGTGGTTATCAAATGTACAATATTCTCTTGTCTGATCCCAAAGAATTGCAAAAAATATCACAATTGGCTTATAATTTCTCTTTTCTTTGATTCGACTAGTATATAATGTATCATACACCATATTGGTTTGATACGACTTATTTCTGGAAAGATTACCCTCACAAAGAATTGACATACACTCTCAAGGCATATTATCTGTTGCAGTTTGCCTTTTGGCTTCAACAATTATTTGTCCTCAACGTCGAGAAAAGGCGTAAAGATTTTGTAGAAATGGCCACTCATCATGCGATCACCATTCTGCTTATGTTTTTTTCTTATATTTTTAATTTTACTCGAATTGGTAACGCGGTTCTTTGTACAATGGATTTTGCCGATATTCAATTACCGGTGAGTGTTTTTCACAACAAAAATCGTTGGATTTTTTTTTGAAATTACGATCTAATTACTTTTCTTCAATAAAGCTTGCCAAGATGCTTAAATACCTTGGATTTAATATGATTTGTGATGTATTGTTTGGAATCTTTATGGTTTCATGGCTTGTGACTCGTCACTATATTTATGGTCATATTATATATAGCACGTGGACTGAGCCGATGCTGTACCTTGAATACAAATGGACACCCGAAGAAGATTATTACTTTACAAAAAACGTGCACCGGTTTTTCTTGATTCTTTTTTTTATTCTCCAGGCGATCATCATATTTTGGTTTTGTTTGATCTCTAATGTAGCATATAAAGTTATCAAAGGTGATGGTGCACATGATAACCGAAGTAGCGATTCAGAACGGTCGGTATTTTGCCTTAAAATTATTTTCATGTACAAAAATTTTAAATTAAATTTCTTATTATAAATTCACAGAGAACATGAAGATTGAATCAATCGCAGACATAGACATGTTAATAGCAACGTAATTAATCATCGATATTTTAAACTAAATTCATGTTTATATAATTTCATCCTAATGTTATTAATTTATGTATTGGTTTCCCATTGTAAAAATTAATGATATATTGATGTATGTGGTCTTAATGCAATCAGTATTTAAAAATTATTTTAATTAATGTTAGATCTGATAATTGTTGATTCTTGTTATTGTTTATTAAATCAGTGAGTGCAATAAAGAATATATATTGTATAATATATATTATGAAATTACCATGGCGAAAAAAATTTTTGGCAGATCATGTGCTGTATATCATTTTCGTAATGAAATTTTTATTTTAATTCTACGCTCGGCACGAGTGAAATAGTGATGGCGCGGTCCCGTGACTAATTCAATAACAATGATATCCAAATTCGTGGACCACCCATCCCGAATTATTGTCGGGATGGGTAATCATGAGTTCTAGATTATGTATTATATTGATATCGATGTATTAAAATACGTATAATAAATAAAAAAACAAATATAATACATAAGCATAATGATTTTTCTAGACTGTTCTATTTGACATCGATATATCAATATAATACATAATCTAGAACTCGTGATTACCCACTACCCGCCATCCCGACAAAAATCTTAGGGCTTTTGTAATAAAAAGTAGAAAGAATATATCGAAATTTTTGTGCTGAAAACTTTTACACCAATTTCCCTTGCGGATTTATGTTTTTTTTGTGATTTCTGGTTTATTTTTTTCACCTTTATTTTTGTTCGCATTTGTATGTTTACTGATCTTACAATCACCTCTATCTCTTCACTTAATCAATCCTCTGAGTTACATATTCCTTCTTGGATTACTGATGCTAACTTAGAGTGAAAAAATCTTTTCCATGTTCATAACATGGAAAATATTAAAGAAATCAGACAACAAATTTCTGATGCTATCAACAAAAGATGTTCTAAACTTCAAACTCATCCCACTTAATATTAAGATTTATCTGTGAAAACAGCTTAGTATTAAATTTATGATTGATATTATGATGACAATATTCATTATTATTATTTTTTTTTTAAATTTCTACTAAACAAAAAAGAAATGAACTCGAATTATGTTTACTCAAGTTACTTCAAAATAACAATATCAATTGTTATGCTACTCAAACTAAATATCATATTGATATAGTAAGCTGTTTTCACAAAATATAAAATATTAAATTCTACAAGAGCAATTTCTTATAACTATTTACTAGATTTTCCTAATGCTTATAAGACTCATTCAATCCCAGTGTGATTTACAACTTAATATAATACTAGACAATACTCAGTAAACTAGTTATCTTTTTATAAGTTGGAACTTTAGACATCTTAAATATGTAATATAAGAACAATTAATTTATAATAAAAAACAAAACCATTATAATTACATAGTTAAAATTCTATTTGGTAAATACACTGAATAGATTCCTTTAATATGGTTTATATTGTCATTGATTATTTTTAATGATTATCTTTTCTATAGATACATTTTTTCCAACAATACCAAATTCTTCTAATTTAAATTCGTCAAATTTTAAATTAGTATATTCTATATCATTTTTTACTTGTTCAACACTAAAAAAATCTTCAATAAGTTTTACAACTTCTATTTTATTACAAACTCATAAATTATTTTTGGTATATTGATACAACCTTTTACTTTTAGTATAATATATCTTTCATTTTTCATTCTTTTACTATTATAAATGATGATTGAGTTTAAGAATATCAAGAAATTGCTGATTCAAATTCTCTAACAAGTTTTATCATAATAGATGATTCAATATTTTTACATTGAATCAAAATAATATTATTATTAAATATTGCTATAATATCAATTTTACTATCACCTTGAGTAACTTTAATTTTATTTGATAAAATATTAGCTGAATTAAGTATTTTTTTAAGAACTCATTCAAAATTATGTTCTAAAACATAATTTGAAGGAAGCTAATAATAAATAAAAAAATAAATAATTAGTATCCCTTTTGACACCAAATTCGTACATTGGAACATTTAAATTCGTACATTAGAACATTTAAATTCATACATTGGGACATTTAAATTCGTACATTGAGACATTTAAATTCATACATTAGAACAATTTAATTTAGATTAAATAAAATGCAATAACTCGTGCTCTAGTGATCCAATTTTGATAATTTTAGTACCATTAGAATCGTCTCAGTTAGACGATTCTAATGATACTAAAATCATCAAAATTGAATTACTAGAGCACGAGCTATTGCACTTTATTTAATCTAAATTAAATTGTCTTAATGTACGAATTTAAATGTTTCAATGTATGAATTTAAATATCCCAATGTATGAATTTAAATGTCCCAATGTACAAATTTAAATGTCCCAATATACGAATTTGGTGTCAAAAGGGATATAAGATTTCTATTCATTTCTATTGTAGTGGTTAACTTCACCAAGATATAACTTGCAGACTAGCTCAAGTTTTTAATCATTTAAAATTATCCTTATTATAATTAATATAAATTCAGAATAATAATATCATATATAAGAAATAGCATAACTTTAGAATTATATAATACTAAATAAATATCATAGCTATTTACTTTTTTTAGATTTTTTTCAGATCTTATTTAGTATAGGTGGGAATATATAAAGATTATAAGATTATTTAATATAAAAAACTCTAACCCTAACCCAAAGCTAACTATAAACTATACTATGACCCTCACCCTAACTCTAACTATTCTCAAAT